TTTAATTTTATTGAGTTTATTGGTACATTTTAGGGATACAGTACAGTTACATTCATTGTTGGGATCATGTACCTTTACATGGCAAGTCTTGATTCTCATTTTTTCCCCTTACCTCTGCCCTCCCTTCACCCCCTCCTCCCCTCCCCATCTACAAACACTTTATTTTCATCTTTTCATTCTCTCACAGGAATACTCAAATATTAATGACAGCAATTAGGCAAGAAAAAAATGAAAGATATATAGGAAAGGAAGAAGTCAAATTATCATTTGCAGATGGCATAATTCTCTACAAAGAAGACCCAAAAAATCCACCAACTCTTAGAATTAACAAATTTCAGTAATGTAGCATGATACAATGCACCCCAAAATCAATAGCACTCCTATATACTAAAAGACACTGAGAAAGAAATTAGGGAAAAATACCATTCACAGTAGCACCAAGAAAAATTTAAATACTTAGGAATTAACCTAAGGAAGTGAAAGACCTCTACAATGGAAACTACAGTACCTTGAAAAAGAAGATCAAAGAGGATGTCAGAAATTTTCCTATTCTTGAATAGGCAGAGCCAGTGTGGTCCAAATAGCCATACTTGCAAAATTGATGCAATCCCAATCAAAATACCAATAGCATTCTTTCAGAAATGAATACAAGCCTAAAATTAATATGAAATCAGAAGAGACTCAGGATAGCAAAAACAACCCTCGGTAACAAGATCACAGCAGGAGGCATCACAATCCTGAATTTGAAGTTATATTACAAAGCTGCAGTGATAATGACAGCATGGTACTGGCACAAAAACAGATTATGAGGATCAGTGGAACAACACAGAAAATGCAGAAACAATCGTAGGTACATTCAATTTGATCTTTGAGATAGGGGCCAAAAACATACACTAGAAGAAAGACAGCCTCTTTAATAAATGGTGTTGGAAAAACTGGCTACCCACATGCAGAAGATTGAATCTAGACCCATGTCTCAGATTCAATGAGAGCAAGCAGCAGGATTTTATATTCCACATTCCATTAATATTTCAAATTGACCTGTTTTGGATCTGCATAGGGATAGAGTGTGGGCTGTACCTTTATTATTCCACATTAATTATTCTTCTGTAATTGCAGTCTTTCAAAATGCAGTAAGGGCAGGGGATTTAGCTCAGTGGTTCTGCTGCCTGCCTTGCAAGTGCAAGGTCCCAAGTTCAGTCCACAGTACCAAGAAAGAAAACAAAACAAAAAAGAAGTCGAGTCTCCACAGATTAGTTTGGGCCTGGGATTTACCTCAGTGGTTCCGCTGCCTGCCTTGCATTTGCAAGGACCCGAGTTCAATCCCCAGTACCAAAAACAGTCAAAATGCAGTAGTCCCCTCCCTCTTATCCATGGAGAATACATTCCAACACCCCCAAGAAGATGTCTGTGACCTCTAGTAGTTCCAAACTCTACATGTGTACAAGTACTTGATTGTCATTCTGATAACCAGCATAACTGCTAAGTGACTAATGGGCAGATAGCATATACAGAATGAATGTGCTGAGCAAAGAAAGGCAGGATTAACCACCAGGGCATAATGGAGCAAGACACTGCATGATTTCATCCCACTACTCAGAACAGCAAGTAAACTAAATCATGCTTGTTAAATTATACTTATGAATTATTTATTTCCCATTTAACCTTGTGTGATTGAAAATACCAACCATAAAACTGCAGATAAGGTAGGACAACTATGCCCACCAAAAATACTCCCAGGATCCAAAACTTCTTATCCCAAGAGTCCTTCAGGTCCCAAGAGTCTTGTGCTAATTCTTGGCCTCTTAGATTGGCTTTACTCAATTCTGTCAGCTAGCTTGTCCTCCAGTTTTATTAATCCTGGGATGTGACTCCTTTTTCTTGCATTCAGCATTACTTTCAGAAATGTATTTCTTCAGGGGGCTGGGGATTTAGCTCAGCAGTTCGGTGGCCTGCCTTGCAAGCGCAAGGACCCAAGTTCAATCCCCGGTAACAAAAAAAAAATGTATTTCTTCCTCTTTAACAACTATTAATAAACAATTCTCTTTGCCTACTAACCTAGGTTCCTAAGGGAGTTTTCCAGCTTTTATTTGTATTTTTTTAGTGTTTGAGTTTGATGTCAGTGCTTTCATTTGCTTCCTAACTTAATCCTAAAACATAACCCCCTGAATGAAAGTTACAGCCTCATCAAACAGAAAATCATGTATAGCTTCTTACAATCTCTTTTCAAAATCTTCATCACTTAGTTTCCCCATTTAACTCTTCTAAAATGAAAATAGTACCAGTACTATTTCCAATCTCTCGGTGCTATGTGGTCTCTTCTCTTCTATACTTAACTGTATCTGAAAACCAGTTTATTATTGTCTTTTAATGATTCTGTTGGGTGAATCTTACATAGGGTCTTGCCTGAGCTAGATGTCCAGGTCAGCACTCAACTAGTCTTAACAATTCCAAAAAGTCCTAGGATGACATAGATGTATGTAATCCTTCTAAGACTATACGGCTTAAGTACCTGTGCCTCTCCTGTGGCCAACTCAAAGAGTACTTTAGGGTTTTTAGACAACCTTATAAGTATCCTTCTACCAAACACTATTCCCCTTTTAAAACCAAGTTTTTTTAAACCCACCTACTTGAAGAAAATGTTATAATTTATTTGTGATTCATGCTGACACACTCCTCCTTTTATGTACTAAACACACTGGTACATTATTAGACTAAGATTATCTGAGATTTTTAGCTCTCTCAGAAATCAGAGAGCAAGCCTTTCTGCATTCTGAACCCCTCCTAATTTCTATCTTCCCACTTCATAGCACTCTGATTAGTACCACATGTACTAATATTTTGTAAATGTTGACTGTTGCTGTACGCTTATCTACTCTTAATTCCTTTTTTTTTTTCCTGTTCTCTTTCTGATCTGTATGTTCTCTTAACAGACAGTGTGGAGCATTCATTATTAAGACAACTGGGTGGCTGTCGTCCGACTCGACTGATTTCTTGTCCAGTGCTCCTTGAGTGATCAAGATCCTGCTCCAAGGAACCAGCTAGAAGCTGCCCATTGTGAAGTTTAGGATTACTCAGTGTCTCAACATACTTATTTATTCCACTGTAAGCTATCTGAATTTTATGAAATTAGGTTTTTTCAACTGTTTTACAAAAATTATTTAATGTTGTATGTTGGTTTTTTATGTGTTACTCTAACTGTAGTGACATTTTTTACTACATGTTTTATCCATTCCTAAATAACAACCACACTAGGAATAGTGAGGTATCTTTCATTTTTTTCTGTTTTGTATTCTTTTCAGGCTTTTAGATACTATGTTTCATATTCTTCTTTATTTTAATATTTAGGATAAGAATCATTTCAAATTCTAATAGAATGTTTAATACTTCTGTACCTTTTAAAGCATAGTATATTATTTAGCCTTAATGATTTACTGTTATTGCTTTGTCACTTTGTCACTTAGTATGCTTTTAATATTTTATTTATGTTACTGTTAATCCTATTTAATTTTGTTTCTTCTATGGTTACTAGAATTTAAATAGTGTTTGTAATTATTTTATTATAATATTTTCCAAATATTAGAAATACCACACACATGATCAATATATTTGCTTTTTCATGAAATTAATTTGACTATATTAAATTTTTCTCTAATTCTAATGCTAATACTGTAACCTACAATATACATTTGGTAACAATTTTATATAATATAGAGCTACCTCATGGAATTTTGGTAAAAGAAGGGCTCCCCTCTGACACGATCCCATAACACTGACATCCCACTGTATTAGGGTGCCTAGAATGCTTTCATCTTACATTTTGTTCTTATTTTTTACCAGTATACTCAATTATATATGTGACGTTGTTAAAAATACAATTGTTTTTATAAAATGCAAAATTATTTCTTAAACCAAAGGAAAACGTTAGATTCTGATTCTAAAGCCAGTTCACATTATAAAATTGGGAAATGGCAGGGTAACTATTGCTCAAAAGATACAAAACAAACCAGAAGACCAGAAGAGCCTTTAATCACCAAAATTTCTGAAGCAGTATAAGAAATATCCCCCTTATATTTATTTGCAGTTCTTCCACTGCCTTTCTAATTTTAAAAGAGAGGGAAAGCTCATAACTGGCATTACTTAAATAAATCTCTGTCTTCCTTCTCCTGTTCCAACTGCAGATGTATTCTCTACTCAGCAGCAGCAGAAACAAGATATAGACCCTAGAGTGTGTCCAGGTGTGTCAGGGTGTTTTCCTTTGAAACCATGAGTACATCTGCCAGTCAGATGTTTTCATGAGAATGTTAGGGACCTATGGATGAATACTAGCATAGAAGGACCTCATGTGCATTAATTATTCTCATCTATAGAAATATAAATAGACTAAGTCCCACAATGAAATTTCAAAAGTTTTTGTTCTGTAAGTACAAACATTATTAACCACTGATGTTAGAGATAATCTTTTAATAGCAGTATCCTTGAGAATAAAAAAGTTCATTGTTTTGATATTCAAATATTCAACATGATACTAAACAAATCCTGGAATGTTAATAAAAGTAATGTATTATTGGGCAAGAAATTTTGATAATAATTGATACCCAAGTGTGTTTCTTCCACTGAGTTATACAGATTATATGCATTCACACCATTTATATTATGTATATGCACACCTAGATTATATGTGTACCCTGTATATACATTATATATACATATATACATATAAGTCATACATGTACTTTCTTAGAATTTAGCTTTGAGATGCTGATAAAACTAAAGAATTTATTGACAATCTGAATATATGGGTGATATCATCTATCTTCATAACTTAGTTTGATATTGCAAACATACTTCTAAAAAACAGATTGAGAAGACAAAACTTTTCCTTATATGTAAGAAGTATAGCCCATTTTATTATTTCTATTTTGTAGTATAACTTCAATCAGTAATTGAAAAGCTTTTACTTAGTACATAAAAATTCAAACTGGTAAACTAATAAATTATGGATTTCCAATTTTATCACTTTTTAGGCATGCCACTTAAAATAATATCAATTAATGTAATGCCAAGCCTGATTATAATTAAATAAAAGTACATAGTAAAAGACTGGATAAGACAGTTTATTTAAGGTCTTACTGGTGACTGATACCATTTTGACACCTTTTTTAGTAACATTTAATTTATAAGTTTTCCATCTGTTGATTTGTCTGTTTTCTTCATTGATAATGTATTTCTTAGCTAAAAGAACCCAAAACTTGATGTTTTAATGTTTTGTTGATAATTTTCTGAGCGAAGCTAGTATATCAACCCCAGTTTTGCATTTCTATCAAGATGTGTACCTATAGAGCAACTGTCATTTAGTATTTCTATAAAGATGTTACTGGTCATAAATATCTCTTTGGTGTGCTTCTTCTCTTTGGAAAGCAGGGGTGTGAGACGTGTGACCTCTCTATACTTAGAGACTAAAGCTCCTCCGTCCCTCCTCTGCTAGTCTTCTCACATCAGCTCTTTTTCTTATTGATGGTTGCTCATCAGAGAAAACGTGGGGGACTTTACGTTCTTCTCCATTTCTTTCTTTATGGAATAGTGACAATAAAACACTAAGGGGAAATTTAGAAGATGGTAATTTTGTATTATTTTGTTGTATAAAAAGAGATTTCCTGAAATATATAGGCTTCAAAGTAAGTGTCCCAAATTGCTTAGCATGTATTTTCTCTGACAAGTTTTGTGGCACTCCCTCTAGATCCTTGTCATTGGTAGATTTTGGTGCTTTGAAAAGCTTTTCCCATTGGAAATTTCAGAATAGAAATGAAATTATATACCTTCTATTCCATGAGTCCCTAAGCCTACTGTTTGGCTCTTTCAGTCTGAGGACTACTCCCTGTCCACCCATCTATCTCCTTTCCAGCCTGTTCTCCAAGTATCTCACCTTTGTTTGGATCGATGAAAAAAAAATCTGAGTGTGCTGACATTTAGAAGTGCCTTTCATTCTGGCTTTCCCCTTTCCTGGCTACTAGCATTCTGAGGGATCTCTATTCTCAGTTTTTATAGGATTCTTCCAAATTTTTTGAGAAAACTTTTTGGCACATTTTTTATTAGTGGATACAGGTTATACAGATTGAGTTTCACTTTTTCAGATTGCTACATGCACACAACATACTTTGATCACCTCCATACTTTTTCTCATCCACCTAATTCAGTTAACCTTCTTGGCTGAAAACAATAGAGCTTAAAGATATTTATTATGTACCCATTTCTGCTTTCATTTTCAAATAAAGCATTAAGCTAAAAAAATGCAATTAGGAATACTTCTGTGAGAGTTTTGCCAAATTCCAACCATATTACAAACGATGTTTAAGTTCACAAGTTCCCTCTATGAAAAAAACGCTGATATTGAGCTATATAAACAGAATTCTAGATTTGGAAAGTTTCTCAAAAGAAGGAGAGAAAACATATCTTCCCCATCTGACTTCCCTGAGAAGTGATTAGAAACCAAGTCCATTAACCCAAAAGATTTAATCCCATTTGGTAGAATTTTCCATAGTATAATGTAACAGGATAAACATCAGGCAGTATGAGGAAAAGATATTTGCTTAATTAATCCAGCTTAAATGCATCTAATTCATACTTCAGAACTCCACTCTTGGTTTTCACCTTCTTCCTTCTTCCATTTCCAAACCCACTGATATTCTTAAAGCTCCAAGTTTTTCCACAATGGTTCCTAATAATTATAGCACAAGCATTTTGGAAGTACAAGTATGAAAGAGAGCCAAGCCACTTTTGCTTTAACATGGAATACTATATGGCCTTTTAACCCTCAATTAATTATTTTATATATATTTTGATATAAATTTGAAAGGTGACAGGCAGAGTCACTTTTTGTGATTAAATCCTAAAGATCACTGGAATTAGGAAAGGTATGTTAACAAAAAAAATTTTGTATATTTTAAAAGAGCTTTCTTTCCTCAAAGGATGTCATGGCCACAACCCTAGGTAATAATGAAATGCAGACATTTCGCGCTGCTCTTTAGCAGACTTGTATTTGGGAGGACTGAGCCTGTCACAGCTGTGAGTTAACTCAGTAAAGTATATTCTCTGTCAGGTGGGGACTGTGGTGTTTACAGTAATAAACTTTCACTCATAAAACATTTTAGATAAAAATATTTCTAAGTGCATCCTTAATATCTCATACTATTTGATTGTCAGATAGTCCATTGTATCATCATTCTGTTTTTTGTTACATCCATTTGAATATAGTCTGGATCATCTGACACTTTAGGCTTTGTGGTTATCTAAAGTCCATTTATAGAAATGCCTGGCTGATTAGAGCTTGCTTTTATCACATAGGTGCGAGTTCATGCATACCAGTATAGCAAGGGAATGTGAGTCAGAACAGCCTGTATCATTGCAACATTCCTCATTAACAAGCAGGGTGGCACCCATTCTAGTTATCTGGGCTGGGAACCTAAGGCTAGGGACATGTTCCCATTTTTTTAACAAATGGGTCTTTGCAGCTTTAACAGATATTGTTCTGTTTCCTTGTAAAAAGTATCAAGCAAGCAACTGATAAATTCCCTCGTGTAATTAACAGATCAAGCCTCTGACTACTAAGAAATGATAATTGTAAAGAGGCAAATGCTCTCTGGAAGTGGGGTTGTGGGGAGGGATGAGAAGCAAGAGCCTTTAAAAACACAGTACTTTTCAGAAATAATTTTTGTTCCATCCAATAAATGTGGACCGTTTTTGTTTAGTCACTAAAATGTCTGTTCTAATCTCTTAAGGAGAAGTCTGAATCAAAATATTTCAATTTAAAATAATAAATTATAATAAACAATGAAAGTGTTTACTTACATTTTTATCAGCAACCTAAGAATAAACCAGTTCCCTGGTCATATAGTTGAAATACAGTTACTCTAGAATTTTAACTTTTTAGATTGTCATGGAAATTTTTCTTTCAAAGCACTGTGCAAGTCAGCATTCTTAGAAATGTAAGGAACATAAGGTGAGAAA